TACGCGTCCACCCTGTATTTGTCTTCCTTCTCAACACTTAATTTCTTTTTCCCTGCCCCTTTGACTCCAATACTAATTTGCAGTGCACTTCAACCTGGGGCAATGACACAATATTTTACATTTGGAGTAAGATACTAATAGAGCAGCAGTGGAGATGCGGCGGAAGCCAAGGAGACTTACCTTCATGTTAGGGACACCATATGTGGAGTCTTGCATCCAGATAAGTAAATCCACCCATTCCACATGAGTAGAATCACTATCTTAGAAGAGTGGCTAGTCTGGCTTCCTGCCACCCTCCTCTAATATCTACTTTTTCTTCTATCAAAACAACTAGAAATGCAATGATATAGAAGTTTCCAAATCTACTATAGGAACAACCTCCTTACCAGTTCCTAATGCTTTGGCTCTCCCTTTCATTTCCATTGTGCTAAACTAGAATCATGTTAAACAAACAAAAAAGCTTCTTTATCAGAGTGCAAAGATAAAAAAACAACCTAATAAGTGCAAATAATTTTTTTACCATGTTTTTCAGAAAGAAATGCCCAGACATTAAAAAGTTTGAATCTTACAAAATTAGTTGTGAATCAGGTACTAATTAATATATGATTAGACATTTTGAGATCCAAAATCAAATGAGAGCTTGGTTATCTTACCCTGAGACAGAAGAAATCACTGAAAGGCAAATCTAGAGAAAAGTCTTTGAGCAAGAACAAATGCCTGTGAGTGAGAGCTCACTGGGAGGATCGCCTAAAAGCACAAGGAATACCTTATGGGAGTTTCTAAAGGGCCAGATATTGGTATAGCTGCTTCACAAAGCTGTCATTTAAACCCAGTTTGGATATGGCCTGACTGCAGATATTGTACAAATGCAATCATGTAAAAAACTCACAGAACCTTTGGTTTTCTTCTCAAACAGCCATTTCTGAAATAAATCCCAAGAAGTCAACTCCAACATGGTTCCTAGGGAAGAAACAAAGCAGCTTCAGTTTTCACACTTTGTTTTCAGTTTCCAGGTGCTTATTCTAACCTGTTGAGGAGGTTCATTTTCATTAAACACTATGTATTATAGATATATGTATACAAATATAACACACATACTCTATATACCCATAGTGTGTATATATGTGTGTATATATATTATATATGTGTATATATAATATATATATATTTTTTTTCTTTCTCAGATACTTTTTTTTCCTATATAAAATTGTTGAGATTTTACTGGATGAATGGGTAAAGAAAGAAAAATGTTAAATTTTATATTTCATTTTTAACCAAGTATTTGTTGAGCATTATACCCAGTTGTGACATATCCTAGATAAAATGAAGAAACCATGTCATCTAATAGCTCAAAGCTAAGTAGGGAAGACAGAAACACAAACATAATTACAACAGACTCTGAAAAGTGTACAAATTAGTATATGCATGAAGTATACTTGTGACCGATATAAGGGGTTTCAGCTAAGTATTCACAGACGGAATACTTGGCCAACTCTTAAAGAATGAGTAGAAGTTCTTTACATATAACTTAAACATAAAACTACCTCAACCTTAAGTACTACAGAATGCATAAATGAGTGCTCTAACAGGGAACAGACTCAAAAAACTTGATATGACCTTATTTATAAGACTAGATCACCTTACTGATAAACTTAATAGCTCCTTACATATATTCCTTTTTTTCTGACCCTGCATTAGAAATACTGAAATGCATTCTCTCTCTTTGTTCAGCCTCCTTGAACTTATCCACTCTATATATGTATTGAATCAAGAAAACAGTTGGGAATTTCCCTAGAGTTGCTTTCTTTTCGGCATTTATTATTTTCCTTCCTTCAAATAATATCCCATCTGCTTTTGGAAAACTACTAGTTTTGCATTATTGGTTATGCAATAATGATGATACTGCCTAGGGTTTATTCGCACAGCTCACACTCTTGGCCACAGTGATTGAGGTCAAAGAAAGGTTCCAACAGATTGATTATTTATTGGATGAGTTCACTAATTAATGGATGTATGCAGGCTTAAGCCAATAGGTACATTATATTTTCCTGGCCATCAGGATTGCTACAGGTATTGGCCAATAATTTAGTCCAGTCCTAAAAGTGTGATCTCCAGAACAACTGTTAGACCTGTGAGACAATAGCTTCTCTGAAGTGGGTAGTAGAAGAATGTAAAGGTTGCTGCTTGCTGCTGCTCTTGTACATCCATTGAGAGGCACTATTCAAAGGGTTGAACTAGCCCGGAGAGCAAGGGACAGCATAAAGAGAAATTCTAATCATTAGAATTAGAGTCTCTAATTAAACTGAACTGCTTGTTTACATTATAGCCAATAATACCTCAGTTTTATTAATCCAATTTAAGTTGAATTGTCAATCACTTAGAGCAGAAAGAGCCCTGACTGATAGATACCATCATCTTTCTGGTCAACTTGTTGCAATTCTTCATTTGCATAAGTTGGTAAACTTTTCACTTCTTAACAGTTGGGATCTCACCAGTCTACAGAGAGGCAGTCTATTTTTATCTATTTTCCACTTGCTTCACAAAATCAGGATGATCCAGGAACTGCCATCTCTATAATTGACAGCATTTAAGTGTAATACTTTATGATACCTTTTGTCACCTTGTTTCTTTCCTTTATGTTATCTCTTTACTTTTCTGGTTCAGAAAGTCAATTTCCATTTTCACAGGTCTTCCAATGGCCTTCTTTTCCTAAAGCACCTTATTTTTATACAGATATTTTAGCTTTTAAGAAATTGATGTATACAGTTAACATACAGAGCACATTCTTATATTCCATGCTGTTAGGTAGCTACTAAACCGATTTATAGCCTGTCAGAGCAACTATCTCTGAAACCACTTTACCAAAGTTTAAAATTATCTGAAAATAGTAAATTAAAAATAATTACCTGGAAAGAAGTATTCTAACTTACCAATGATCAGATTCACAGGATTGCCACAAATTGGGTATGAATATCTAAAAATAGAAAATGTAATAAAATATACATAATATTATGTATAAAACCATATTACACATATGATAACTTCCAAATTTTTTTTTTCTGAATCACAAAGTGCTTCAAGGTCATCAACAAAGATTAATTACCACGTTTCTGTGAATTTGTACATGGGCTTCTTGTTTCTTAGAGATTTCTGGTTGACTGCTTGATTGATAAGTTTTATCTTACTTAAATTGACTATGGTGCCATCAGTTTTTTTTTCCTCACTTAAGTTCTACACATACATATGCATAAAATGTTGGTTATTAGTTATTCCCCTTGCTTTTCCTGCATCATTTATTTTCTTTAATAAGTGGCTTCAGGGAAAAAATAAAACACTGGCTAAAGATTAAAAACAGTTACTTGTTCTCATCCAAGTTACAAATTAGTGTTTATAATTAAACTCCAACCTTAACAATTTCTTTGTTTTGAATCCATCCTGTTGAGTGGTTACAGAATTGTCTAAGTATATTTCTTCTAACCTAATGCTAATAATGTACTGGCTTCTACACCTTTATAATTGTTCATTAGCTTCAAGCAGTATGTTTTGACTTTTATGTCCTTGAAACTATGAAATTATGTTTCTACAATTCAGTTTTTCTAATGTTTCTACTTTACATATAATGTATTATGAATCTGAGATCTGAGGCATTTTTAGAAATTCTGAACTGGAGATATCAGTGTAGTCAGAATAGTGTCAAATGTGTAACCCAAACAACATAATTGGTACTTTGAGGTTGAGGTTGATGTGACATTCTCTTGAACATATTTTAATACTTATGCATATTTAAATTAAAATTTTAACCTCCTGACATTCAAACCAACAAGCCAATCACTATCCAACTAGAGAGACATGTCTTACAAATAAGATGACGCCACAAAAATCATTTGTCTTGAGTCTATGTTCATAGAACGAGAGATTTGAAAAAAGACTAGTTGTTTACTAATATTTTGACAGTGAATTTTTATATTAGAATAGCTTTTCCAATGGATTATATACCCAGAAATCATATCAAATATGTTTGTCTTTATATTGAAAGGCTGCTATCTAAAAATGATGGTATGGCATGTGTTCAAGCATGACATTCATTTCATTTTACAATTTTATCTTTTTATATAGCAGGTAGGTTTCTGGCTATCCCACACAATATAATGTTTTGTTTCCAGGAAGACTGGATGAGGTAGGCATCTGTATGAGACATACACTATACCTCCCTATCAGAATCTACCTGTCCAGAAGTAGTATTATTTATTGTACCCCTTTTTGATCCTTGTTACCAGCGTCAAAGTAGCAAGGCTTCTGGAAAGAAGCTTAGCTTTGATCGTGGCCAGAGCCAGGTTGGCAGGTGAGATGTTAAAGTTTGTTTTGCCCCAACATGATGTTGTCATGACCCATTTTGGTGCCATACAGCTGAAGGTATGTTTTGGTTCAGGATCCTAACTTCCAGTGAATTCACGCACAGCTGGATCTTCTTGGGAAAAAGGATCATCTTTCAACCCTTCAACAGTATTTTCTACTTACAATTTCATTTAACATTTATCAGAGTGCCAGCTTTGTAGTAAAATGCTGAAGTGAAAATTCTTATGTTTAATAGCAGGCAAAAGTGAAAATTATTGTATCTGATTGAATCTGTGTTTGCAGTGAACAGTTGAAATTTAAATTGGGAAGGTGCCAGAGGCCTATTGGCTACCTTCCATAATTGTCAAGTTCCATGGAATGGAGGAAGTTATTTTATTCCAAGTAACAAGAATAAATTTGCATCCTGAGATCCAGTGCTGCTACTTAAAACCAAAATACACCAACATTTTATGGCACAGAAATACAGAAGATCCTTCTTGCCAATTGCCTCTATGTTTATTTACTTCAAGTCCCAGAAGAACAACCCAGATCAGTTTTGCCACTGACATTATAAATAGCATAGCCAATTCATAACGAGTCTTTTCTTCAAAGAACGGAAATGAATCTGAAGTCTGATTAAACTCACAGTGTCCTTGTGAGGGAGATGGGAAGAGACAGAGTATTTTGTCTAATTTCAAGTTCAAGAAAGCAAGGAACACAAACGTTAAGTGGCTGGTGTCCATTTATTCAAGTAAATTTATTCAGAAGTTGAGCCAGAAATAAAGATCAAGTCTCCTGGCCCATGCACTAGGCCCCATGCTGCCTCACAGCTTTCAAAACCATCATTTTCTTGGGAAATGCTAAAAAGCTTTCCCCTACCATACATACTAGATTCAGACACACTGCCATCTACTGACCCACCAAAGGATGTGCCAGCATAAGACATCCTGACCTTCAAGGGAGGGAGGAACACCTTGAGAGGAGTTGAGATCCTGCTTTCTCTTCAGAATGCCATCTCCAGGATGCCAATGGGTTGTGTCTACAGTACTATGTAGGAAAGTGCTGCAAGAGGTAAGTGAACTTAGAACATTTCCTCCCCGATCAAGGGATTAGTATTTTGGCACTATTAATATTTATATAATGATGTCACAATGCACTATGTTGTCTATATGTGGGACATCCTTGAAATAACCCCTTTCTCTCAGTACTCTTATTTTGACATATTCGTCTAGGGATTTGAATCGTCTAAGATAGTTTTTCTTTTTCACATAAAACAGTTTGAAGAATGCCATATGATTTTTGTGTTCTCTATTTTGTCTTTCACTGGTGTCCTATAAGATGTGCTAGTTATCCTACATGATGCCAAGAAAGGCATAATAGAAACCAAGCTAAATAGCCCCAGTCCTGTGCTTGTAGAAAAATATCATAAAATGTCCTAAAAGAGCTCTAACAATAGGAGAACTAGGCTCCTAAGTATATATTTTCAGCAAGATTCTTTTTTGTTCAGAGCCAAGGTATTTTTTTTCCCAGAAAAAATATCAGTGTCTTTCTTGCCACATCAACTCTTTAGAGCTTGCCTGCATTCTTCCTAGAATAAGAGTAACATTTTCCAGACTTGATCAAGTGATGATGAATACAATTACTGTTTTTGTTCCATTTTTACAGCCAAAAATTAAAGTTATGATGTTTGTCTATTGCTTGTGATTGTACTTAGTTCATTGCCTCTAAGACAGAAGTTAAATTTAAGTATGTGGACCATATATTTCTTTTTTGATGAGCATAAATGGATAAAATTAGTATTTTAATATATAATCAGTGTCTATAAAACAATCCACATAGTAGCAGAGAAGCATTTGTGCCATGCTGGTTACTTGTCTTCATTTGCTTTAAGATCTCAAGAAAAGTTTATCTCCCAGGATGGTGGTTCATAGGCACTGTGATTGAGGACTATACATAGAAAACTTATTGTGAATATAGAACTTATTTCTATTCTTTCAGGATATGAAATTTTATGTACATGAAAATTTAATTGTTTTTATAAAAGAATTGGTTTGGTGTTACAGTTAGTCAAGCAGAACTTATCCTTTGAAGTTTACAGCTTGAAACTCAATTTGAAGAAGACCATTGATTTAATTTGGAATAAATGTCTGTATGTGTCCATCCAAATCTTTACAGAAATACCTTATTTTGAAGTCTTCTTAGGCAGAAATAAGAAACTGTTGTTTCCAAATTTTTTAAATGTCAAGAGGGTCTCTAAAATTATGACAGAGGTGAGGGATACAAAGAGAGATACATTAAGAATGGAAACATCTGGGAGTTTTACTGACTCAGTGAAACTAGGGCATTGTGAAAACTTTATCGAAAAAATCTACAGAGAGAAAAGTCCAGTTCAGAAATCTGGCCCTCACATATTCAGTCCTTAGTAAAGGCTTATTAGATGTTGCAAGATGAGAGTGAGGTCCAGGAATGGTTAAATGGAAAATGAGAAGATAAAAGGCTATGAGGAGAGAGAGAAGGAATAATAGGAGGGTGCCAAGGCATTTGAACATCTTTGGTATGAGCTTGAACAAGGTGCTAGACATTTGGAAAGCTTATCTGAGTTAAAGTGAACTACCAAACTTATTGAGAAGCAGTAACAAGAACAAAATGTTCTTTAGCTTTGTTCCATTTAAAGCAGATGCACGTATATCAATCTTTTACAACATGATTATTTATATTTGATTCTTCTCGTAAAATCATCACAAGACATCAAATTGTCAGGATAAATAGATTTTTTAAATGTTCGCAAAAACTGTTTTCCTGACACTGGAATGGTGAATTAATTCAAGTGTTATCCATATGTTTCTTCTGTTATTCTTTCTTTTAATTTTTTCTGTCCTTATATATTATGTAATAACATTATAATATAAAAGATATAACATATATTATAAAAAAATAATATAAGAATAATTTCACACAGAATTAAAGGTATTTGTACAAATTAGTATGTTTTGTTTTAGATGAAAGATTAAATAATTGGTTAAATCTCCTAGACCTAGGTGAGCCAGAAGAAACACAGGCAGAGTCTCGCATTCTTGTAGAGTTGAGGAGACAGCTGAGAGTTCCCAGACAAAAGCAGCTAGGGTTCACAGAGCATGAGAGAAGTGACAGCTGCACAGGGAGAAAACTCTGGCAATATCTATCGGGTCTTTCTCAAGTGTTTCAGGAGAGAACTGATCTGCACATGTGTGGGTGAAGTCTACTCAAAACTGAAGAATGAACCTCTGCAAGGACCAAAGGGAACAATTCTTGGAGCTCAGGTTAAGCCAAGAATATTTTATTTTTCTTCACCATCCAGAAGGGTCAATTCATCAAGAGGATATAATATTGCCAAATATTTATGCAAGTAGTAACAGAGCTTCAAACTACATGAAACAAAAATAGATAAAGCTGCAAGGAGAAAGAGACATATCCAAAAAACAGTTGAAGGTTTCAATATCCCGCTCTCAATAACTGATAGAAAAAGTTACGCTAATTCTATACAAACTCTTCCAAAAATTGAAAAGTACGGAATACTTTCCTAATCAGTTAATGATGCTAGCATTACTCTGACACCAAAACAAACAAACAAAAAAAGCATTATAAGAAAAGAAAACCGGCTGGACACAGTGGCTCACGCCTGTAATCCCAGCACTTTGGGAGGCCGAGGCGGGCGGATCACAAGGTCAGGAGATCAAGAACATCTTGGCCAACATGGTGAAATCTCATCTCCACTAAAAATACAAAAATTAGCCAGGCGTGGTGGCACGCGCTTTTAATCCCAGCTACTCCAGAGGCTGAGACGGAAGAATCACTTGAACCCAGGAGGCGGAGGTTGCAGTGAGCCGAGATCGCACCATTGCACTCCAGCCTGGGCGACAAGAGTGAAACTTCGTCTCAAAAATAAATAAAATAAAATAAAATCAGAGATCGATATTTTGCATGAACATAAGATATAATAATTCCTAACTAAATGTAAAAAAACACAGAATCCAAAAATATGTAAAAAGCATAACGCGTCATTACCAAATATGTATTAACCCAGAAAATGCAAAAGTGGTTTCACATTTGAAATTTATCAATATAATTTACCATGTTAACAGATTAAAAAGAAAAAACATACAGTAATCTAAGTAGATGCAGGAAAAAACTAAGACAATCAGATTGAACATCTATTTCTGAAAAAACTCTCGGCACATGAGAAAAAGACAGGAACTTGATAAAGAAAATCTACAAAAACCTACATATAATATCATATTTGTGTTAAGGATTAAATGCTTTTCTCCTAAGGTAAGGAACAAGAAAATTTCATTCCCTTTTTTCAACATTGTACAGGAGGATCTAGTTAGTGCACTAAGGCAAGAAAAATAAATAAAATACATTCAGATTGGAAAACAAGTAATTTATTATTATTATTATAATTTACGTTCTGGGATAGATGTACAGAACGTGAAGGTTTGTTACACAGGTATACCATGCTATGGTGGTTTGCTGCACCCATCAACAGGCATCTACATTAGGTATTTCTCCTAATGCTATCCTTCCCCTAGCCCCCCACCCACAGACAGGCCCTGGTGTATGATGTTCCCCTCCCTGTGTCCATGTGTTCTCATTGTTCAACTCTCACTTATGGGTGAGAACATGTGGTGTTTGGTTTTCTGTTCCTGTGATAGTTTGCTGAAAATGATGGTTTCCAGCTTCATCCATGTCCCTGCAGAGGACATGGACTCATCCTATTTTATGGCTGTGTAGTATTCCATGGTATCTATGTGCCACATTTTCTTTATCCAGTCTATCATTGATAGGCATTTGGGTTGGTTGCGAGTCTTTGCTATAGTGAAGAGTCCGGCAATAAACATGTGTGCATTTGTCTGTATAGTAGAATGATTTATAATCCTTTGGGTATATCCCAGTAATAGGATTGCTGGGTCAAATGATATTTCTGGTTCTAGATCCTTGAGGAATTGCCACACTGTCTTCCACAATGGTTGAACTAATTTACACTCACACCAACAGTGTAAAAGTGTTCCTATTTCTCCACATCCTCTCCAGCATCTGTTGTTTCCTGACTTTTTAATGATCACCATTCTAACTGGCGTGAGATGGTATCTCATTTTGGTTTTGATTTATTTTTTTTTTGTTAAGACAAAGTCTAACTCTGTCACCCAGGCTGGAGTGCAGTGGTGCGATCTGGGCTCACTGCAACCCCCGCCTCCGAGTTCAAGCAATTCTCCTGCCTCAGCATCCTGAGTAGCTGGGATTACAGGCATGTACTATCACATGCTGCAAATTTTTGTATTTTTAGTAGAGATGGGGTTTCACCATGTTTAACAGGCTGGTCTTGAACTCTTGACTTCCAATGATCTGCCCACCTCGAGCTCCCAAAGTGTTGGGATTACAGGCTTGAGTCACTGTACCCAGCCGGGAAACAATCAAACATTTTATTTCCAGATATGATCATCTACGTAGAAAATCAACTGACATCTACAAAAAAACTATTAGAAATAATAAGTGAGCTTTGCAAGTTTGCAAGGTGCAAACTTTATATACAATAAATAAATTCTATTTCTATATACTAACAATAAACAATGTGAATAGTATTTGTAATAATATACATAAAAATGCCTACTGATAAATGTAATGAAAAATGTAAACAATATAAAGCATTAATGAGAGAAATTAAATGAGATAAAAATAAATAGGGAAGCAGTCCATATTTATAGATGAGAAGACTCAACATTGTTAAAATAGCAATTCACAAATTGATCCATATTCAATCTGATTTCAGTCAAATCCCAGCAGTTTGTTTTATAGAGGTTGGCAATGTAATTCTAATATTCATATGGAAATTCAGAGAACTTAGAATAGCTCAAATAACTTTGAAAAAGAACACAGTTGAATGACTTACACAAGCTGACTTCAATGCATACTATAAAAGCTGCATTAATCAAGAAAGTATGATATTGGCATCAAGATAGACAAATAGATAAATGGAACAGATTGAAGAATCCAGAAATTGATTTTCAACAAAAGTACAAAGACAATTCAGTGAAGATAGAATAGTCTTTTATAAAAATGATGCTGGATCAATTGAATATTCACATGCAAAAAAAAAAAAGAACTTTATACTTTGCATCATGTACAAAAAACTTAAAACTATTAAAATTCCTAGAAGATAACAGTTATCTTGAATTAGGCAAAGATTTCTTATATAAAGTCACTAAAGCCACACATATATATGAGAAAAAGATTAATAAATTATATGTCATCAAAATTAAGTATGTTTGTTGATCAAAAGACACTGCTAAGAGAATGAAAAGGAAAGCCACAGACCAGAAGGAAATATTTGCAATTCACATCGTTAGTAAATGATTTGTATGTTGAATATATAAAGAACTTTCAAAATAAGAAACAAACAAAAAACGTATTAAATTAAGGGCAAAATTTTGAAATGACTCTTTAAAAATGATATGAATGCCAACTAAACACATACAAGTATGCTGAAATTATTAATCATTAGGGAAACTGAAACTAAATTTAGAATGAGGTATCTCTACACATCTAGTAGAATGTTTACAATAAAACAAAACTGACCCCACCAAGTGTTGTGAAAGATATGAAGCCATTTATTTCATTCATAGGTATTTATAGAAGATAAGCAAAAACATGTCCATAGACAAGGTTGTTCATAGCAACATTATATGTAATCCACAATACCTGGAAACAACCCAAATTTCCATCAATAGATGAATGTGTAAACAAATTTCAGCATAATGAATTACTGCTCAGAAAGAAAAATGAATGAACTAATGATATGCAAAAGGACTTATAATGAGATTCAGGAAACACTGTCTCAAATACGGCACCTTGACATATTGAAGAAAAGCACAGAAGCAGACATGTGACTCTGAACTTACCCAACCCTCACCTTCTTCTCTTAAACAGGTCATGAGACCTTCATGTGAGAGCTGCTCTCCCTGTACCTTGAGGAAAGAAACCTCTTTCTCTCTGAAGATGAACAGTCACAGAGAAGTATCTGAATAAACACGTCTTACTAACTTTCCCCCAGTTTATTATTATTAGATCACACCCCCTTTGTCCAGTATATCCACTTTTCATCAAACCTAGTATAAAATACAGTTGACCCTTGAACAACATGGGGGTGCTACGAGCACTAACTCACTACACAATAGGAAAACAGCATATAACCTTTGACTCCCCCCAACTTAACTACTAATAGCCTACTGTTGACCAGAAGAAGCCTTGTCGATAATACAGATAGTTGATGAACATGTATTTTGTGTGTTAATGTATAATACAATGTATTATTACAATCCAGTAAGCTAGAAAACACAAAATATTGTTAAAATCATAAGAAAATACATTTATAGTACTGTATTTGCTTATGCTGTGAGTTTACCTCATGTGTTTACAAGATGAATCGTCTGTCTGAAATGATGAACAAAGGCAGCTGCAGACCTCTATCTAGAGCACATGTCAAGCAATTCAACTTTTGCTTAAAATTCTATGACTTTTCTCCACTTCTTAGGGGCACCTCCAGCAGCACTAGTAGCGCTAGTGGCACTTTGCGTGGTTCCGTTATTAAAGATTCAAGGTATTGCACTAAACAAGATGAAAAATACACGAGAACTGCAAAACATCACTTTGTACTGCAATATGCAATTTACTGGAGAGATCAACTGCTCACTGGAAGATGATTCACCTCACCTAGCATTTTAAGCAGATACATGCAACACTTATTAATAAGAGGAGTTGACTGCAAAAATATTGCAGTAGTACAATATGTACTACACATAATTTATGCAGTTATAATTTAATATCACATTTTTATGTTTGTTTACATTTCTCTCTACTACATACAGCTGTGCTACATATGGTCTGTAAGTGTGAGCATAAGTTTTGGTAAGTTTTACTTTTTGCAATAGATTTGTGTACATTTTGTGAGAATTGATGAAATATACTAGTATCTACGTATGATTTTTTTCATTTTTGACATAGCTTTTCTTTTGTTTTGACATTTCTAGACTATGCAGTTCATCTGGGAGTTTTCCAAATTCTTGCAAATCTCTAAAAAGTTTTTTAATACGTTGGTTGAAAAAATTTCCATGTCTAAGTGGATCTGCACAATTCAAACTTGTTCAAGAGTCAATTTCATACCCAAGTTTAACTGTTTATTTTGGTTTTCATATCCTTATGAGGATTCCCGTGTTATGTAAAATATATTACATGGTTGTAGGTATGTGCTCTACCCTGAGAAGAACATAGGCCATTTGTTTCCACCCACGAGTCTTAGTTTTTAGATATGCATATGCCAACCTGAGAGGTACTGAACTAATGTAGCCATGCTTTGTGTGTTCTAGCCCTGTTTGAAAGTTCTTTTTTGTCTAAGGAAAGGAAAACAATTCTCAGAGAACTCATCTAGAATAACATCCCTGTACTTTCTTATGAGAAAGAGAAAGTTGCTTGTTGAAGCCTTTGGAGACAGAAGTTTTAAGGTGCTAAGAAAGAAAAGTAGGTCACTATTTTTTCTCTCACAAAGCTGTGTCTAATTTCCACACAATATGAAAGTCGTATCTCTTATGTCACTACTAACCTACATACCATGTTCTACCTTGTGTTTTTATTACATTTTTTTATTTTTTTATTTCAATAGGTTTTTGAGGAACAGGTGGTGTTTGGTTACATGAATAAGTACTTTAGCCATGATTTCTGAGACTTTGGTGCACCCATCACCCGAATGGTGTACACTGTACTCAATGTATAGTCTTATTCCTGGCCACGCCCCACCCTTTCACCTGAGTCCCCAAAGCCCAATGTATCATTCTTATGCCTTTGCTTCCTCATAGCTTAGCTCCCACATATGAGTGAGAACATTTGATGTTTGGTTTTCCATTCCTGAGTTACTTCACTTAGAATAATAGCCTACAATTCCATCCAGGTTGCTGTGAGTGCCATTATTTTGTTCCTTTTTATGGTTCAGTAGTATCCCATGGTATATATATACACACATACATACATACAACATTTTATTTATCCACTCTTTGATGGGCATTTGGACTGGTTCCCTGTTTTTGCAATTGCAAATTGTGCTGCTATAAACATGCATGTGTAAGTATCTTTTTTTATGTAAAATTACCTCTTTTTTTCTGAGTAGATACCTAGTCGTGTGATTGCTGGATCAATGGTAGATCTATTTTTAGTTCTTTAAGGAATCTCCACACTGTTTTCCATAGTAGTTGTACTAGTTTACACTTCCATCAACTGTGTAAAAGTGATCCCTCCTCACTGCATCCATGACAACATTGATTATTTTTGATTTTTTTATTATGGTCATTCTTGCCGAAGTGAGGTGGTATCGCATTGTGGTTTTGAATTTGCATTTCCTGATACTGATGTTGAGCATTTTTCCATATGCATTTTGATAGGATTGTTTGTTTTCTTCTCGCCTATTTGTCTGAGTTCTTTGTAGATTCTGGACATTAGTTGTTATACTGTTTCCATGTGTTTGGACAAATGTATAATAATATGCATCCATCATTATAGCATCATAGAGAGAATTTTCACCACCCTAAAAAAATCCTGTCTGCTTTGATTATTCATCCCTTCCTTCTTCCTCACCCCTGGAAAACACTAATCATTTTACCGTCTCCATAGTTTTGCCTTTTCTAGAATGTTATATAGTTGGAATCATACAATATGTAACCTTTTAAGCTTAGCTTTTTTCACTTAGTAATATTCATTTGATTTTTCTCCATGCCTTTTTATGGATTGATAGCTCATTCCTTTTCAGCACTGACTATTCCATTGTCTAGATGTAACACGGTTTATTAACCTACTGATGTCTTGATTGATTCCAGTTTCAGGAAATTATGGATAAAACTGCCATACGAATCTATGTGCAGGTTTTTCAATGGATGTATGTTTTCATTTTCTTCAGGTAAATACCAAGGAACACAAGTGCTGGTTCACATGGTAACAATATGTTTAGATTTGTAAGAGACTGTCAAACTGTCTCCCAAAGAGGCAGTACCATTTTGCATTCCCACCAGCAATGAATGAAGAGTTCCTGTTTCTCTGATCCGTGGGGATGCTCCTTGACTTACGATAGGGCTATGTCTGGACAAACCTATGGTAAGTTGAAAATATAAGTCGAATGTGTGTTTTTGACTGAGAGTACTTTCAACTTACCATGGATTTGTCCAGACATGATCCCATCATAAATTGAGGAACGTACTGAATGTGTATCACTTTCACAACATCATAAAGTAAAAAAAAAATAAATCTTAAGTCGAAACATTGTAAGTAGGAAACCATCTGTATTTGGTATTCACAGTGTTCCAAATTTTGGCCACTTTAACAGGTAAGTAATGGTATCTCCCTAGCATTTTAATTTGCATTTCCCTGATGACGTATGATGTGGATGTGAAGTATCTTTTCTTTTTTTTTTTTTTTTTTTTTTTGATATAGGGTCTCACCCGGTCACCCAGGCTGGAGTGCACTGGTAACTCACTGCAGCCTCTAACTCCTGGTTTCAAGTCATCCTCCTACCTCAACCTTTCAAGCAGCTGGAACTACAAGCACATGCCACTTGATGTCTGGCTTATCTATTTATTTATTGGTAGAGACAGGGTCTTGCTTTGTTGCCCAGTCTAGTCTTGAACTCCTGGCCTTCAGTAGTCCACCCACCCCCGCTTCCCAAAATGCTGTGATTATAGGTATAAGCCACATGCCAGGACTCCTGGAGTATCTTTTCATGTGCTTATTTGCCATTTGTGTATCTTCTTTGGTGAAGTATCTGTTAATATCGTTTTTAAGAGTTATTTGTATATTTTGGATTAAAATCTTATCAGATATGTCTTTTGCAACTATTCTGCCCCAGTCTTGTCTTTTTATTCTCTTAACGGTGTCTTTCACAGACCAGAAAATTTTAGTTATAATAAAGTTCAGCTTATTAATACCTTCTTTCAATTATCATGGCTTTGGTGTTATATCTAAAGAAATTATAGCCAAACCCAAGGTAATCTAGATTTTCTTTCTGTTATCTTCTAGTGGTTTTATAGCTTTATGTTTTACCTTTAGGTTTGTGTCCATTTTCAGTTAGTTTTTGTGAAGAGTGTGAGGTCTATGTCCAGATTCATTTTTTGCATGTGAATGTCCAGTTGTTCCAGTGCCACTTGTTGAAAAGACTATGTTTTCTCCTTTGTATTGACTTTGCTCTTTTGTCAAAGATCAGTTGACTATACTTATGTGGGTCTATTTATGGGTTCTCTGTTGTATTCCATTTATCTATTTGTCTATCCCTTCATCAGTACCACACAGTCTTGATTAATATAGCTTTATAGTAAGCCCTGAAGTTGGGTAGTATCAGTCCTCCAACTTTGTTCTTCTTCAATATTGTGCTGGCTATTGTGAGTCTTTTGCTTTATACAAATTTTAGAATAAGTTTGTTGATATCAACAGAATAACTATCTAAGATTTTAATTGGGAGTGCATTCAATCAATAAATCAAATTGAGAACTGACATCTTGATAATATTGTCTTGCTATTCATGAATATGGAGAATCTCTCCATTTGTTTCATTATACTGTTTTCTATACCTAAACACAGTTTTTCTGATGTAGATATAGTACATATTTTGTCAGATTTATGCATAAGTATCTCCTTTTGTGGGTGCTATTCATGAATATGGAATATCTCTCCATTTGTTTTGTTATACTGTTTGCTATACCTCAGCACAGTTTTTCTGATACCGATATCGTACATATTTTGTCAGATTTATGCATAAGTATTTCCTTTTGTGGGTGCCAGTGGAAATGGCATTGTGTTTTTAATTTCAAATTCTACTTGTTCATTGCTGGCATAAAGGAATGTGAATTGGCTTTTTGTGTATTAATCTTGTATCTTATATCTTACAACCTTGCTATCATTTCTTATTAGTTTTAGAAGGTGTTTCTTCTTGTCGAGTCTTTCAGGAATTGACTTTCAAGAATTTCAAGATATTCTACATAAACAATCATATCGAATCATATCATCTGTGAACAAAAACAGTTTTATTTATTCCTTACCAATCAGTATAGCATTTTTTTCTTTTTTTGTTGTTGTTGTTGCTGTGTGTGTGTATTTTTTTTTTAAGACGGGGTCTTGCTTGGTCACTCAGGTGGTAGTGATGTGATTGCAGCTCACTGCAGCCTTGACCTCCCGGGCTCGAGTGATCCTCTTGCCTCAGCTTCCCAAGTAGCTGGAACTACAGGCACATACCACCATGCCTGGCAAGTTTTTGTGCTTTTTTGTAGAGATGGGATTTCATCACGTTGCCCAGGCTAGTCTCAAACTCCTGGACTCAAGCAATCTGCCTGCCTCAGCCTCTCAAAGTGCTGGGATTACAGGAATGAGCTATCGTGCCCTGCACCCCTCTACCCCCTCCCATCGCCTTTTCTTTTTTTTTTTTGGTCTTATTGCATTAGCTACAACTTCCAATATGATTTTGAAAAGTAATCATGACAGGAGATATCCTGCCTTGTTCCTCATCTTGTGGAAAATCTAGCTTTGCACTATTAAGTATGTTAGCTATAGATTTTTTTTGCAGCTATTCTTATCAATTTGAGGAAGTTTCTCTCTAAGTTTACTGAGGTTTTTTTTTTTTATCATGAATGAGTATTGAATTTCATCAAATGCTTTTTCAGCATATATTAATATGATCATGAGATTTAAATTCTTTATCTTATTGTAATGGATAACATTAATTGATTTTTGACTGTTGAACCAGCCTTGCACACTTGGGGTAAATTCCTCTGGTCATGTATATTATCCTTTTTGTACTTAAAAAAATTCAATTTGCTAACATTTTTTTGAGTATTTTTGCATCTATGTTTATGAGCGATATTGACCTGTAGTTTCCTTGTCTTGTAATGTCACTGTCTAATTTAGGTTTTAGGGTGATGCTGTCCTCATAGAATGAAAGTCGAAAGTATTCCTTATGCTTTTATCTTCTCAAAAAGTTTGTAGAGAATTGGTATTGTTTCTTCCTTCAGTGTTTGGTAGAAATCGCCAATGAATATATATGGGCTGGTATCTTGGAAGGTTATTAATTGTTGATTCAATTTCTTTAATGAACATAGGCCCATTCAGATAGTCTGTTTCTTCTTGCATGTGTGGTTGACAGATTCTTTCACTAGTGTGTTGACTATTTGGTATAGTCAGTGGGTATAGGTTACAGTTGTTTTCATATATTTATTTTTCTTTTTTAAAGAAATATCCACTTGACATTATCTCTGTCCTTTCTATCAATCTGATTTATAAAGATAACAGCCATTTACTTACCTGCATAGGGTACTAAAAGCCTGGTAGAGAGTGTTTCTGGGAGTTCATAAAAGAAAGAAAATAGTAGACTAAGCATCAAAGACATTTAGTGATTTTGATTATACAAGAAATCTAAAAGGTGGGATTTCAGAGCTAGTGCAGTGGCTCATTGATGAGATGACTGACCTTAATTATTTCTGCTTTTTTTTCTTTCATTCTTGCCTGTAAATTTCTGTTTAGTTTACCTGTTTTGTTTTCTCTATTGCATTCCACTGCATTTGGTTTTCTAAACTCTCCTGGCAGTAAAATCTGCTGCCTTCTGTTAGAATGGGAAGGGGCAGTGAGCCAGAAGTTTTGAAGGTACAGCTATTTCATAGACGCATTTGAAACTCTTCCTCCTGGTTTGTTGTTATTGGTGGTGGTGGTGGTGGTGATATTGGTGGTGCTGGTTTGTTGTTTGTTTGTTTACGGTTCTACACTTCTTTCCCATATTCAGTGCATAGAAAATCATGTACTTGAGCCTCCAATTAATGAGACTCATTGGGAATCTGTGGACCCAGTTAACTTGATTCTTGTGGTTTTCTCCCACAATCACTTAGCAAAGGTGTGAAAGCTGAAACCCAAATCATTCTTACTATTCATGTACATTTAAAGTTGTGATTTCTGGATTCAACTGCCATGTTTTCCCTTGTTGTTCTTACCCTTGTGAGTTTTAAAATCAATTTTATAAGATTTTAATTGGACTAAAGGATAAAGATTGAGATAATGCATGTGTTCAACTTATCATATTCATGCAAAACATATTTTTTCTTATTTCAAAAATTTAACTTTGTCCTACTCTTTTAAAAAAAGCTATATCTAAGCTCACGAAACAGAAGTTACATACAGTTAAGTAACAGATAGTTAAGTCTCTCACATTTAATCAACAGAATCACATGGTGTTTGTTAAACATCCAGATTCCCAATTCCTCTATACATTCTAATTTAGAAGTCCTGGGTATGGTTAGGTATTTTTTTCTTTTAATTGAATCTTATGTTCAGACAAATTTGTTAAGCATGACTATATCAGTGTTTTCCAATTCTACTGATAATACAAATTACCTAGGATGCTTGTTAAAAGATCCCTGGGTCTCATCTCAAATTCACTGAATCAGAATCTCTAGGGGAGGATCCTGAAAATATGTTTGTTCTAATAAGCCCTGAAGGTGACTATTATCAGGAAGGAATTTTAAGAAATGGTATTCTAGATAAGTAGTAAGGTCAAGAACGAAAAACAAGTTTTAATATGTCTGACCATTTTAATTGGCAGTGACTCTGGAAGGTTGTGCTGAGAACTCTGAAGCCTTGCTGTGACTTTTTGTGAAGAGTTTTGTTACCAACTCGCAGGTGCTCATATAAGAAAATAATTTATTTTTAAATATAATTATTCTACAAATGCCTATTATTTGCTGTGTGCCAAGCACTGTAGGTGCTAAGGATAGTCATGATGCTCACAAAAACTAATAATTGCTATACTGCAATTTAGAGTCTAATATAGAAGACAGGCATTCATCAAGCAATCACACCATTATGTAATTATAAAATATGATAATTGCTAAGAAGGAAAATTATAGGATATGTTATTAGCATATGATAGGAAGATCTGATTTAGTTTAGAGATTTAATGACTTTTTTCTAAAGAAGATGGGCAATATATGTGAAACGTTTTATAAATGTGGTAAGTGGATGTAAAAATTTTTCATTAATGAAAGTAAATTTGAATAAAAAAAAAATTGCAGGTACCATGACATTTATCCTATGCTTCTCTCTACTGGCCACATATTCTTTAATAC